ATGACGCCGCCGTGCTCCAGCGTCTTCCACTTGACGCCCCCCCGCTTCCACTCCGACCCGTCCACCTCCTCGTACCACCGGTCCCCGTACGACGTGCCCGCGTCGTCGCCGCCGCCGCCGCCCTTTGCCGAAGGCTTCGCGGGCGCCTTCTTCTGCTTCTTGGCGGGCTTCTTGTCGTAGTCGGAGTCGGAGTCGGCGTCGTCGTCCGCCGACGACTCGGAGTACTTTGGCTTCTTCTTCTCCTTCGCCTTGGGCGACGCGGGCGCCTTTGCCGCCTTGGCCGCCTTGGGCGCGGCCGGCGCCTTGGCTGCGGCCGGCTTTGGCGGTGCGACGCCGTTGCCGTTGGCCTTGGGCTTGGGCGAGGGCGCCGCCGGCTGTGGCTTGGCGGTGATCACGTTCTCCACCGCCTTACGCTTCGACAGCGGCACGTCGTCATCCTCGTCCGACGAGTCATCCTCAGCAGCAGCGGCGGGTGGCAGCGGTGCAGCAGCAGGCTCCGGCGCTGCGGCAGGCTCCGGCTCGGCTTCCGGCGCCGCGGCCGGCGGCTGTGAGGTGCGCTCTGAGGGAGGCGCTTCGTCCTCGCTGCTGTCGTCGTCCCTTATCCTCACCATCGCACAAGTCGACGAGCCTCGACTGAGAGTCCCGCTTCTGGCTCAGCGGCAAGAGCTAGATGGCAGAAGAAAACGCGCTGCCGAGTCCGAGCCGAGCCGCTGGGCGACGGCTAGCTAGCACCACACTCCTCTCCTTAAAATCCCTGTGTGGTGGCGGCGTGCCGTCCTCCCATCCCTCCCTACTTGGTTTCTTTCTTTCTTTCTTTCTTTAGCCGCTGGCAGCTACCTCTGCTGGGCTCTGGCTCTGCCTCTCGCTCTCCTCATCCTCCTCCCTGCTCCTTCCGAGCTCCGTCCACCGCCTCGCCAATGTTGACAAACAATTGCTAAAAATCTCTCTCTCTCTGTTGCCTGTTGGTGTTGCCGGGGGGCCGTCTCTGACGCATGAAGGGCTGCTGCTCTATTACGTTTACATGTATTTACAGGGGCGTGCGATCTGTGAAATTCAAACCTCAACCCCCTGCCGCGCTCCGGTCGTGCAGATAAAGCAGCCCGGCATACACCGCCCCCACCCCTGACAGGACGCCCGCCGCCGCGGGCAGCCGCCTCGCGGCCGCCAGCGCCGCGGTCGCGCCAGCACCAAAGGAGGCGACCACACGCACCGACTCGGCGGCGGCGCGGCGCGAGCCGGGCGCGACCGCCTCGCCGCCAGAGACCGCGTCGCCGAGGCTGCGCGCAATCCTGCCGAGGTGGCCCGTCACCATGCAGGTCACCGCGCCCGTCGAGTCCGCGGAGGCGGCGTTGACGACGCCTGAGCCGACGCCGAGGAGGAGGATGCTCCAGCGCGAGCCGTTCGACAGGCGGAGCCCGAGGTCGGCGAGGGCGAAGAGGGCAAACACGGCGGGCGCGACTGAGGAGAGGGTGCGGCGGCGCCGTCGCGAGAGGTCCACCACCCGGAAGGCGCCGAAGCCGCCGACGTACGACGCGATGAGCGCCTACTTACACCCGCTGGAGGCGTGAAGAGAGGCTGCTCACCCCTCGGCTGCGGACCTTTCGATGAGCGCCGTGAAGAAGGCGCCGTCCACCCAGCGCAGCGCGGTGAGGCACTCGAGGCAGCGCAGCAGGTTGCCAGTCATCATGTTGGCGTAGCAGCCGTACGTCTGCCACACAAACACGTCCACCCACCCGCCCGTGAAGGCCAGGCCCGTGACGAGCGAGGCCGGGTTGGGCACGACAGCAGCGGGCGCCGAGGCGGCCGTCATGCCGGCCGTCATGCGAACGCGCGGCGCCGGCGGCCGCAGCGCCGCGCACAGGCCGGGCAGGCAGAGGGAGACGACGACGAGACCTCGGGCCTTCATGTGAGTTCGTTGTTATGCGGGGGGCGCGCAGGGCAGCGCCTTTTTCTTTGAACCGCGCACGAGTTTTCTTTTTCTCAACGGCGCTAGGAACGGAAGCCCGCGACACTCCATTCCGTGGACGGTTCTCTGCCGTCAGTGCTGAGGCCTCCGCTGAATGAGAAAGGAGACGCTCTGCAAAACGTCGCCGATTCGCTCGGCGCAGCTTTAGATGACCACGCTCCGCACATTGCTCGCGACGCCGCTCGTCCTCGTCGCCCTGCTCGCCGCCACGCCCTCCCGCGCCGTCCGCCTCTCCCCCGGCGCGCCTGCGTCGGCCGCTGCGCGGCCACGCTTCCTCTTCCTCTACCGCGACACACTGCCCGGCCACTGGCGGAGCGAGGTGCGCTCTGTCGCAGACATGCTCGGCTTTGGCGGCGATGAGCTCGCCTTCGAGCCCAGCCGGCGGGACTCGTTCGAGTACGTCGCGCTGCCCGACGCGGCCGCGGCCGCCGCCGTCGCCCGCCGCTGCGTCCTCGTCCGCGGCTGCTTTGACGTATGGGCGGAGTCGGAGCCCGCAGATCACGAGGACGGCGGTGGCGGCGAGGGCAGCGGCCAGCGGGCGTGGGAGCGGCTTGCCGAGGCCGTCTGTGCGGCGGGCGCCGAAACGCACCGGCGGTGGGTCGCGCCGCTCGCCGAGGACAGCTGGTGCGTCGAGATGCTCTCAGCGGGGCGGCAGAAGCCGTACAGCGAGCCGGCCAAGGCGCGGCGGGATGGAGCCGCGCCACTAGACCCTCCCAGAGACTTCGCAACCTTCAGAGGACTCCTCTGCACGACCACGGCGCTCTCACCCCCGCCGCCGCCTGTACCGCGCCAAAGGTTGCCCTGATGGAGCTCCTCGACGAGCTGCTCGCGCCGCTGCCCGGGCCCATCTCTCTCCGCTCGCCGGAGCAGGTGGTCGCCATGCTCGAGGACTACGACGACCCGACGGGAAGAGGCGAGCGAGGCGAGCCGGCCGCCCTCGCTCCTCCGCGCCGCCTGTACCTCGGGCGGCGCCTCTCGGCGGGCGCCTCGCGGCTGCTGCACGACTTCCGCCTCTCCGCCCGCGGCTACCTCGGCAGGACCACGCTGCCGCCCGAGCTTGCCTTTCTGATGGCCAACGAGGCGCGCGCACGCCCCGGCTGCGCGCTCCTCGACCCGTTCTGCGGGACGTGCTCCACTCTCCTCTCGGCCGCGCGCTTCGGCGCGACGACCTTCGGCGTCGAGGTCGACGCGAGGGTGCTGCAGCGCGAGCCGATCCGAGCCAACTTTGCCGCCGCCGGCCTGCCGCCGCCCGCCAGACTCCTCCTCGCCGACGCCGCCGAGCTGCTGCCCCGCGGCGGCGCCGCCGCCGACGGCAAAGGCGACGATGGCGACGCTGACGGCGATCACGTGGCGGAGTTGCCGGCCGGGCTGGGCCTGCGCGACTTCGACGCGATCGTCACCGACCCGCCGTACGGCATCATGGAGGGGGTCTGGGAGGGGGGAGGAGTGCTGGTTGGAAGCTGTGAGCAGCGTCTCCACACACCTCTGGCTGCGGACAGGCGGGCGAGCTGTACCAGCCGCTGCCCGCGCGGTGCGCGATGCTGCTGCGGCTCGCCGCGGCGCGGTTGCGAGTCGGCGGCCGCCTCGTCTTTCTGCTGCCCGTCCCCGCCGAGTGCGCTGCGCCCGCGCTGCCGCCGTCCGACTGCCTCGTCCTCGAGTCCGCTTCGAGGCACGCCGTCTCGGCGAGGATGCACCGGTACTTGCTCACCCTCCGCAAGGCGCGCGAGGCCTCCGCCGCCGACGTCGGAGAGGCGCGCGTCCTCGAGGCGGCGGCAGGCGAGGGCGGCGGCGCGGGTGGCGGCACGGCGGCGGACGCGTTGCCGAAACCGTGGGAGGTGTCGACGCTGAGCACGTAGCGAGGAGGGTGGGGCGGTGAGTGTTGTATAACGTCACACACACATTGTCTGGTGAAGAATCTCACACCAGTCACACACACCGACCACAACACCCCGCCGCCGCCCCCGCCGCGCAGCCACACTGTGGTGCAGCTCTGGGCGACTCGGACCGACCCGACTGGCGGATCACTGCCAGCGGTGCCGCTGGTCGAGAGGGAATTTATGACATACTACTATGACCATGCTAGTGACGTATGAGCTTCAGAACAGAACATGCACAGACGGGGACGGCGACGAGACTTGCGGCGCCCCGGCGCCGACGAGAGACGGACAAATGCATGCTCTCGACATGGCACATGCGCAGGCAGTACAGACACGGCAGTTCGCGCGCAGTGAGACATGAATAGCGGTCGAGTGTAGCAGTGCAGCCCGACGCGGGCTGTGTAGCGACATGAGGACGGAAGAGCTCACCACGGCACGCAATACTCGAGGTAGCGCAAGAACTGGTCGCGCGTCATGGGGTCGGTATCGGCATCGGGCTGGTACATCTGGAAAGACACGCCGATCTCGGCGTGGTTCCAAGGGTACGGCTCCCACATGGCCAGGTCGTCGCTTATACCGCCGCGTTCGAATTAGTCCCTAGAGTCTAGCTGCCACGTTCAAAACCAGGACGGCGGCAGTGATGGTGCTATCACGGGAGCGGGGGAGCGGGTGGTGTACGGGATAGTAGAGCAGGCGCTTTGTGGGTGGCGGTGGGCGGCGGCGCTGGGGGGCCGGCCGAATCGTTAGCTGAGCTCCTCCTCAAGCTCGATCACGCATGTGACGCACGTTGAGTGACAACGTCGGCGAGCTCTTCTGAATCAGGTTTAGGTTGCCGGACATGGCTGCACCTCCAACTCCTCCTCTGAGTCAGACACGCCAATGTCGACTCTCGACTGCGCCCTCCTCCTCCCATTCGTCGACTGCGCCCTCCTCCTCCTCCTCCAATTCGCCGACTGCGCCCTCCTCCTCCATGGGGTCGATCCGATTCCGCAGCGTGTCGTCCCCAGCGGCGGTGCTGCGCGGGAGGCGGCCGCGGGCACGCTGGGCTCGATCAGCGGCTTCCCCTCAAGTTGCGCCGAAAGAGCACGCGGATTTGGCGGACGTTCTTGGTTTCAATTTTACGGATGTCTTGGCACCAGCTGAAGGCTTGCGGCCGTCCACGGCTCAGATCACATATTCACGACGGTATTTGGATTTTGCTATTTGTTCGAGAGATTTTTGAAGACCAACAAGAAATCACGACCGCCACGTGCGTTGTGGCGGGCCACCCTGTCCATGGATGCCAATCTGGGGTCTCTCGACCGAGTCTGATTTCGCCTCGCCGCCTCCCGATGGTGGTAAGGCTCTCTGGTGCGGAATCGACCCTATCCAGTGCTCAAGTGCTCAAGTAAGGCTGGAGAGCCAAACAAAGCGGCGGAGATGGCGGGGGAGGGCGGGGGATCGAGGAAAGCACGACTCGCACCGACCCTTCACGAACCGAAAGGCTGCACCCGGGGAAGGCACAGTAATCCGGGCACGTGTTGGGCGCCCCATTCCGTTTAGGGCTAGGTCGGCTCAGGGCCCCGTCCACTTCCCTCCCGCTTGGCGCGTGATGATGAGGAGATGCCACCCAGGCCAGCCAGGGCAGGGGCGGAGGGCGAGGGCGGAGGGCGGGATGGGCGCCAAGCGGGAGGGAGCGGACGGGGAGGGGCGCACAGATGGGGGATGGCGAGGGCGGAGGGGCGGGAAGAGGGGAGGGCGGCGGGGGACGGAAGTCGGCATGGGCGGGTGGTGGGTGGTTCGGTAGGGCGCGGGGGGGAGGGCGAGGGGTGGAGTAGAGGGGGGGTGGGGTGTCAATGGTACCGCGTCTGCGACGCGGGCGCCTTGCGGGCAGAGCCCTTAGCCACCCTTCATATCTTGCGCGGTAAAAAAGAATGGCGACAATGCTGTTTTCGAGGTTCTCGAGAGGTGGATATCCTTTGGCCGCGTTGGGTGTGTACGGGGTGTGGAGGGTGAGTTGACCAAGGGGTTGTGCGCCGGGCCCTCCTGCTCGGCTCCAGCCGGTAGACAAGTCTTGTCATCAACAGAGTAGATGGACCTGACCTCGGGGCTGATGTGACCAAGCGCTGGTGGCGTGGTTTAACCTCACACCCATGGTCTCACAGTGTGCCGGCAGTCGCCGAGCAGTGTCGCTCACACAAGCCGCAGCACAAGTGACTGAGGGCCAGTGAGGGCGAGCCCATCGCTGTCACAGCTGTGGCAGCCGCACAGTAGGCTGTGTCAACTGTGCAGAGTGTGTGAGCAGCAGAGGAGCTGCTCTCCAGGCTTCTGTCGCAAAGAGCTGCATGCCACTGTGGGCGCTGTCGAGGTTCGCCGAGCGCGGCGCAGGTCGGGTTGAAGGACACCGTCACCGACGAGCGCACGTTGGAGTATTCACTCCGGACAAAGACGGCTACACGCACACGAGCCGCGGTCGTGTAGCCGTCATAGCGGCGAGGCGCGGGACCGTCTGTGGCGAAGTGGGTCGCGTCCCTCGATTTCCGTGAACCCAGCATCCACACCCCTTTACGCTCCTTCGTCGCGTCGATGGGGCGCAGCAAGCCGGCCGCACGCGCCGAGACGCGAGAGCGAGCGAGCCACGCGCAGTGTGCAATCTTTACCGGTACTAGCAGGTTGGCTCGCTAGTCGCTCGCCGGCCCGCGCAGCACGCGCGGGCCTTTTTTGTGGTCGGATGTTGGTCGTCTCGAATTTGATCGTGGGCAGGGCGTGAGAAAGCTGGACAGCTCGGTCGATGCGAGCCACCAGCTCGTGAGCGACGGGCGCGACGGGTTCCTCGGCGTAGGCTTGGGCGTGGTGAGCAGCGCCGGCGAGAGAGGGACGGCATGCGGCTCCCAAACGAGCCGCACGGGCTTCATCTGGGCCGCCGAGGCCACCTCCTTGGTCGCGGTGGCGGGCGTGAAGGCGAGGTGGGCCGAGGCAAGCGCTGAACGTGCCGTGCCGCCTTGCGCCCCTGAGGAGGGACGAGTGTGTGGGGTGCCACGGGCGGGGGGGAGCGGTGAGAGGAGAGCGGTGGGCACCCCCACGAGGGGCTGCGCTGACGCCGCCTGCCACCCCACGCACGCCACTGACGCTGTGGGGGCGGCACGATCGAACGCGCTGGTCGGGCGGGCCGTCTGAGTCGCCCAAGCGGTGCTCTGCCGGCCGGTGGACGCGAGGGTGGCCCAAGAGGGCTCAAAGTACGGAGCCGATACCCGGCCGTCCCGGACGCCTGGCACGCGGGCCAATGGTCCAGCCGTCCTGTGCATGGCTGGAGCGAAGGAGGGAGAGCTCAGGAGGGCGACGGGGCAGGGAAGGGGGCGATGCGATGCGGCGAGGTCTAATCGGCGGCGTGGAGAGAGGAGGTGCCAAAAGGCGACTATAGAGAGGCCTCTACGGGTGATATAGTGCGCCATGCCGGCGGGAGAGGTCTCTCACCGCCCCCCGGGCCGTCTCGAAGGGCCGTGCAGCCCACGCCACGAGGCGCTGCTGGCGGGAGCCTGGAAGGACTTGGCCTCGTTGCACCGCGCCGCGTTGATTCGCGACCACCGTCGGCCGCGGACGGCGTCGGCGTGGCGGCCGCGGGCGCTCGCGAGACGCGCCGCTCTGCGCTGGTTCGGTTCGTTCGACTCGTTGTGCCGCCGCACGCCCGGCGGCCGCGGGTCCCAGAAGTGGTTGCGCGGGCCTCTTCCTTTCGGCCGCGGGACGGCGTCGGGCACGTCGTCGGTCGCAACAGCGGCGCGGCGAGCCGCGGCACGTCGTTGCTGGCGCTGGTGGTTTGAGGTCGGCATCGTCCAGAGCTCGGTCGACGAGTCTAGAGCTTCAGCTGGTCGGGTGCCATGTTTGTGCGGAAAGTGGCAAATATATCTCTTTGATGGGAGTTTTTGGCTAATCAAACCCAAGGCCTGCACTAATCAAAAAGTGGTACCTAATCAAAAAGTGGTACGGGATACCAGTTGCCTCACGGAAATCAAAGCGAGTCGGAGTGCCTTCTTGGTGGCAAAATCGGCAAAATCGGCAAAATACCGGGTATTTTGCGGGTATACCTGAAAAAACCCGGGTATACCCGGGTAATACCCGCACTTTTGCATGGTTTCGCCCCCGGGACCACACCGACAGCCGCTACAACTACTGAAAACCCCGCATACCACTTTCGCATACCACTATACCATACCACTCCAAAACTAATCAAAATATCGCCAAATACCAGTCTCATACCGGTAAAGATTGCACACTGGCCACGCGGCACCGGCACAGAAAGTTTTGCCCGCACGTCACACGAGTCAAGTCAAGTCAAGACCTACACGGACTGTCCATGATGAGCGCGCGACGCAATTCGACTGTGGACCACACTATTCCTGTGCCCAATCGCAACCAACCGGCAGCCACCATGTGTCTATGTCCCTCGCATGTCCTCAGTCTTCACACTGGAGCCCGCCCCAGCGGCGGACGGCCGAGACGCCTCGCCGTGCACCCCACACGTCCGGTCTACGTTCGACTCTTCGCGTGCCCGCGTCGGCAGTGCAAGCCGTACAGGTTGTAGGGCAGGCCCTCCGCCACGGCGACGACCTGCAGCGCGTCTGGGTCCGCCGCCGCTTCGCCGGGCACGCGGCCGCATCCGACCAGGGCGAGCTGCTCCACGGACTGGAAGAGGCGGAAGCCGGAGCCGAGGAGGAGCTGCTGCAGCCGCGAGCCGGAGCAGCCCTGCGCGCGCAGCGCCGACTCGAACACCTCCACCTTGACCGTCTTGACGGCTCCGGCGCCGAGCAGCCGCCGCATCCCGTGCAGCGCGCGGCACTCGAATCCCTCGACGTCGATCTTCATCATCGCCACGGGCGGAGGGAGGCGCTCCCGGCGCAGCTGCCTCGGCCAGAGGATGTCGTCCGCCTGCCAGCAGTCAGTCCGGTCGCTCACGCTTGTCGAGCTCACTCGGGCGCCTCGGGAGGTGTTCTCTCGCCTGCCGCACCACCACCCGCTCCGCGCTGCCAAACGAAGAGCCGTCCCACCGGCTGAGAGACTCTGCGCTCTCGCTCGAGCCGAGGACGGAGTGGCCGGCGTTGCCTGCGGACGTGTCGCGGACGTGTCGACGGACGTGTGAAGGACGCGCAAGCCACAGAGCGGCCCGCGGTGCCGAGGGCGGGGTGGAGGAAGAAGCTCGAGTTTGCGTCGCCGAGCGCGAGGGGAAGCAGGACGGCGCGACGCCGCACGGGGGGGTGGCGCAGCGCGAGCGCGCCGACGGACGCCGAGAGCAGCCCCAAGTTGGCCGCGCCGGGCTCAAAGGCGACCACCGGCGCGTCGGTCGACAGGAGCAGCTGCATCGTGCAGGCGCCAAGGTTCGCCCCTACGTCGAGCGCCACAGCGCCCGGGCCCGCCGCGAGCGCGCCGATCGCGAGCAGGGGGACCAGGTCGTCGCACTCGAACCAGCGCCCTTCCCGCACCACGTGGTCGGACAGCAAGTCGCCCTCTGGCCGCAGGCAGAGCGAGCCGTTCGAAGCAGCTCGCGCCGCCAGCGGCAGCCCGAGCCCGGGGACGGGAGCCGGCGGCGCGGTGATCGCGTCGCCGCCGGCAAGCAGCGCGGCCCAGCGACAGGGCGCGGAGGCTCTGCTACCCAGACTCTCCGCCGGATCGATCCGCCAGGCCTCCCACGACGGCGGCTCCGAAAGCATCATCATAGAAAGAGGCTCGCCGCCCGACGCCCTCATCTTGCGCCGCCGTCGCACTGTCGAAACTCGGCGGTCGTCGTGAAGCAGGAGGGCGAGGACGAGCAGAACGGCAGCGGCGGCGACGAAAAGAAGTGCTGAGCGCGACGTGGTGCTCGCGCCCGGGGCTAGAAGCCGTCCGAAACAAGAATTAGCGCGTAGACGACCCTAGAAGTAGCAGAGGAGAGCGACGCGACAGAGGGAGAGAGAGCGACGTAAGTGGGACGACCGCGAGGTGGCATGAAGGTTTGTTTGTTTGAAGGTTGCAGCGAGAATCGGCGAGGGACTGCGAAGAGAGATAGGAAGAAGCAGACGCGAAGGATGGGCGACGGCTAGCGCATCACACTCCTCTCCTTAAAATCCCTTTTTGGTGGCGGCGTGCCGTCGTCCTCCGCCTGCTCCCATCCTTCCCTTGCGCCTTGGCGCTTGGGTTGTCTGTTTTCTTTCTTTCTTTTACCACGCCCAGTGTTTTTGAGTTTTCCTTGGCTTACATTACCTCTCGTCGGCTGGCGTCTGTGAGGAGAGGTCTCCATCGTATGCCTATGCGCATCACAGATTCTCTCGCCGTCGCAGCGCGCTGCGGTTTCTTGTCTCTCTGTTTGACCCCCCGATCACGCCACCTCGCCCCTCCTCTCCGCTCACCCAGAGATGGTGTCCCACTTGGGGAAGGCCTGCATCCGCGCGCGCGCGTTTCTCTCCAGCTTCTCCTGCTTCTCGGCCTCGATCGCGTCGATCGTCACCTCGATCGGCCTGCTCGCCTCCTCGTCCTTGTAGTAGCCGAGCCCGTACACGTCAAACTTGAAGACGTAGCCCTCCTTCTCGCTCTCGAACTCCGCCGCCTCGATGTAGTCCGGCGCCGCCGCCTCGAGCTGCGGCGCCGCCGCCGCGCCCTCAGCCAGCACAAACGCCTCCGTCTCGGGGCTCTCCCAGAGCTCGGCCGCCAGCCACATCTCCGAGGGAACCTCGCCATAGTACGAGGCTGCGAGCGGAGTCACTGCCGGGATGTAGCCCGCCTCGAACCAGTTGCGCATGGTCGTGGTTGCGTGCGGCCCCTGGTCGACTCCGTAAGGGTCGCGGTACCACCAGAACTGCGCGTGGCCGAGGTCGCCGGCTGCGGGCGGTGGCCCGTCCCACGCCTTGCGTTTCCTCGACGAGGGACCCTCCGCCGCGCCGCCCGGGGCAGCGGCTGCTTCCGCCATGCCCGTGGAGCTACCAGGTCGCACTTAGCTTACCTAGGCTCCCTAGGTAGCACGCACGAAAGAATTCGTCCCCGCATTTTTTCTCAAATTGGCACCTGTCCTGTGTGGTGGCGGCGTGCCGTCCTCCCATCCCTCCCTTGGGTTGTCTGTTTTCTTTCTTTCTTTTTGGCACCTGTCCCTCCCTTGGGCTGTATGTTTTCTTTCTTTCTTTGGCACCCGTGCCTCTCTGGATAGGGTGGCCGTCACACAACGACCCCTGGAATTGCGAGTCGCCCTTTCCCCCGCTGTGACCTGTGTGTGATTTTGTGTGAGCTCTGTGTGTCTTGAACTTGATTTGAAAGTAGAAAGAGAGATTTTTAGCACTGCGCTTTTTTCTTTCTACGGTTTCTGTTACAATGACACACCGCAGTCCGCTGCGATCACCGGCCCGACTCGGACTGAGCGTGCGGTGCCACCTCAGGTCGTACATCTAGCACCGCGAGCGGTTGCCACGTAAACTCCAGCCCTTCCACCTGCGCCCCCAGCCCAAGCTGTCCAGCATGACACCAACCCATGGAGGCCAGCCGACCTGAGACAGTGTCCACGATCATAGTCGTGAAGCATCCGCACGACAAAGCTACTATCTCGACATGCTCGACAGCGCTGTCGTCGCCCCGGTTGTCCTCGACTATCACGCCTCCTTGGATGACCATGTCAGTGCCGAAGCCATCAAGGACCACTTCCGTCGGCTCGAGGCGGTTCTCTTCACTCCCATGACCGAGGCAGCCGAAAGAGCCAGATCCCCACGTCCATAGCACCGAGCCGCCATCCGTCGTCGCCGCTGTATGCAGTGTGCCACAGCTCACGAGACCGACGGGCCTGCCCTGCAGCCTGGACACGACTCGCGGCGTCATCACATCCTCCTCGTCCCCGTGCCCGAGCTTGCCCTCCGCGCCCTCACCCCATGTGAAGAGCCTGCCGTCGGACGCAACAGCTGCGACGTGTCCACTGCTGCAGCTCGCGTCCCGGACCAGAACACCCGAGAAAGGAACCGGCGCGGGTGTCGGACTCAGATAGTGGAAGACGGGCGGCGGCAGATTCCAGCCGGCACAAAAGAGGAAAAGCTTCCCCGCAGACGTCACTGCGATGGCCAGGCCGTCCTTGTGGTCAATGGACACCACTCGGCGGGCTGCCAGGGCGTCCACGCGAACGGGCTCGGCCCCGACCCAGTCCTGACTCGGCCCCGCCCCGTCCTCGTCCTCGGCGTGACCCAATGCGGTCTCACCCAGCTGTAGAGATCGCCGTTGGCCGTGACACAGAGCGTATCGTGGACGCCAGCCGCAACTAGCGCCACTCGCGTTTCGGGCGGGAAGCTTGACACCTCGCACGGCGGGCCCACGACGCCCTGATGGACCCCCAAACCCAAGCGTTCGCCGTAGCTACCCCACGTCAGGAGACGGCCGTCATTCGTGAGCGCGGCGCTGTGAGCCCAGCCGGCAGAAGCGGCCACCACCGTCCGGCCCGCCAGCCGTTCGATCGGACGCGGTGCGACAACATCAGCGCGACGTGGGTCGGCACAACCGAACTCAAGCTCTTGGTCGTCCTCGTCCAGCTCGGGCTCCAAGTCGCTCCCCGGGTCGTCGGTTAGTCCCAACTGGAAGTCTGCATTTGAACCAAAAGCGGAAAGCCCTCCGCCTGCCGTCACGACTAAGCCGTGAAACCTCGTGGCGGACACGACGGGCAGCGGGGCGAGGAGCCGCTCACAGACGAACAGACGAAAGATTGCACTCTCGCCGTCGCGAGCTGCAACTCGCCAGCCATCGTGCCGCCTTGAGGATGCGAGCTCAGCCGCAGTGTCAGCGACGCTGTATCGGTGGCTCACGCACTTCAGCCGCGCGAGGCCTCGGGCAGGAAGGTGCTCGCAAATACAGAGCAGTAGGTCGAGGTCGAGGATGTCCAGGGTTGGAGGCGCGACCAGCGTGGCGGCAGTCATCGGCGAACGGCTCGACATAGGCTGGGTGGGGTCGCAAGTGTGTACTATGCCGATCCCTTGCTCTCGGCCTCTCGCCTCTGCCGGGCTTCAGCAAAGCGAGCAGCGCGCACCTCTTTCTTTTGTCCCGAGGGTGGGAGAGGGCGACGTATTTTGCAAATACGTAAGCGCGCGCGGCGCGCGCGCGCCTGACAAGCGATCCCACGACAGCGTGGCTGCGTGGGGTGCTTGTCCAACCAACCAACTGCCGGTAGGCGACAGGGAGCCCCCACGGTGCTCGGTGGTCCCCGTTTGCTTATTCTTGACCTGATTGGCACGCTTCTTGCGCGCCTGCTATGCTTGCGCGGGGACTGTGCGGATAAAAACGTGGCTCGGGTTACACCAATCCTCGCTACCCAACGCGGCCACTTGAGCACTTGAGCACTGGATAGGGTCGATTCCGCATGGTACGGGACCCCTCGATCGTCTCGCCCTCCCTCGCTGGAGTGCTCATTGGGGGGGGTCATAACAAACACGGTACAGGATCGAGGTGCACGCTGCCGAGGCAGTGTCGTCCCCCCTCTCCCCGACGGCGATGGCGGTGTGACCGATCGAGCTACAAGAGGAGCTTGTTCAGCAGGATCCGGGTTAGACTGGCGCACTACCTCACTGGGCCTGAGACCGCCGTGCCGCGTGCGCTTCCCGTCACCGTCTCGGGTTTGTGTGGGATCGAACCACTCCGGGATGGGCAAGCCCATCGTTCTGACTTGCGCCTTTCCTCCACCTGCAGGAGAAAGCAGGGGGTGTGTGCGCCGCCTCGGCTCGACGGGGGGGGGGGGGGGCGTAAAAGGGGGGGGGGGCGGGGGGGGGGCTCTTCCAGTCGGGAGAGGCCGACAAAGCAACTTCGAGGCGTACTTCACACCATCTTGTTAATTGTCAGAATTCAAAAAGCATCAATTAATAATAGTAAGGAAGACATGTTGCCCGGCCGTTCAAGAAGTCCGTCTCGATTTTCGTTTTTTTCCCACAGACCACTCGGCTCTCGGGCAACGCGGAAAGGATATCCACCTCGAGAACAGACAGGATAAAAACTCACCGCTCTTTATACTCGTTTATTCACGAGGCGACCCCAGGGAACCGTGGGCTCTAGGTTTCCTAGTGGCGTGCTGTGAACAAACAGCGAAGAAGACGCCTGATCAAAACTGGGCCCGGGCTCCTAGCCGGATAGGGGGTCTGTCCACACTGGCTGGCCCCTCCCAGATAGATAGGTAGGTTGGTCTTGTTTCGCCCAAAAGGGCCCTGCAATGGGTAGGTCATACTTTTTCCATCTTTTTTCGCTTCGCTGCGCGCCTGGGGATAGTGGCGCCAGCCTAGCTGCCCTCTGCGCGGCTGGCCTAACCTGTGCTGCTGCTGCTGCTGCTGCTGCTGCTGCTGCTGACTCCCGAGTGCCCCTGCGTGTGAGCAAGGCACGTATTCCGCTACTCTTGCCTCAGGTGCCGGATGCCGAAAGGCGGGTGGCGGTGCGTGGTGGTCGTGCTGCTCATGTGCTCGGTCGTACTGCAGCTGTGGTCGCAGGCCTCAGCGCTCTCTCTCAGGCTGCTTCCGACTGCGCTGCGGAGGCGGCAGCACGTGAGCTCTCTGTCTCCGACGGCGACTGCGACCGCGGCGGGCGCGGGCAGTGCCTCTCGGGACCCGGGGTGGGTGGCGGCGCTGCAGATGCTGCGAGACTCGCGCGAGAGGTACGTCATCGTTGATGCCAAGAACGGGCTGGGCAATCGGCTGCGTGCGCTCGCGTCAGCCATGGCGGTGGCGGCGACGCTCGACCGGCCGCTGCTCCTCGTGTGGGTGTCTGACCTGCACTGCAACTGCAGCTTCCGGCGGCTGTTTGCGCAGCCGCTGCCCTTCACGCTCCTCGAGGAGGAGATCCCGCTCGCCAACCTGACCGACCCGCGCCACTTCCAGCGGTACAACTACATGCGCCCCGAGCCGGGCGCCGTCAAGGACGCGCCCATCATCCCCGACCCGCGGAGGCACCTCTACTTCAAGTCTGCCTTTGTGACGCGCCCCGCTGCCGGCGAGACCGACCGGCTGCGGGCGGCGCGTCTTCACACGCGTCGGTGTGGGCAGGTGATGAACCACGCGCACGGCAAGTGGACGCACGCGCAGCAGCAGATCCAGCGCCTCGTCCCCGCCGCTCGCGTCGCTCGCCAGCTGATTGCAGACAAGACCATGGCGCCGACGCCACACCCGACGCCCGCCCACGCCGCACCACACTCCACCACACTCCACCACACTCCACCACACCACCACACTCCACCACACTCCACCACACACCCACACGGCCAGCCACACACCCACTCCGCCACACGCCCACTCCGCCACACCGGGTCGGCCCCTCCCGCACCACGAGCACGCCGCGGCACCGCGGCGCCGCCGGCCACACTCCCCCGCGGCTGCCACCTCTCGCGCCGCCCCTTCCTGGCGCAGGCCAGGCTCCCCGTCTGCACGCGCGCGTCTGCGGATAGGTCGGGCTCCACATCCGAAACGTCTTCGACGCGCCCCGCGACTCGAGGACTTTCTCCTCCACCACGGGCAACGAGGCGATCGCCGCTGCAGAGAAGGAGTACGGCCGCAAGGGGACGTCCAAGCTGCTCGCGTGGAGAAAGGCGGGCCCACACCGCCACCGCACCTCCGCCCACACCGCCCCTCCGCCCACACCGCCCCTCCGCCCACACCGCCCCTCCGCCCACACCGCCCCTCCGCCCCGCGGCGCAGGCGGCGCACTGGTCCAACTTCGTGCCGCGCATCACCTCGCTCATGCGGCAGCACTCCCTCACCCGCACCTCGGGCGGCCTCTCGCAGCAGCCTCTCCGCTTCTACCTCGCCGCAGACTCGGAGGAGGCCTATGCGAGCTTACTCAAGTGCACAGCCTCCCACACACACCCGCCCGCCCGCAGCCGCCGCCTCGGCGCGCGGCCGGCACCGCGGTCACCGGCACCGCGGTCACCGGCCGACACCGCGGAGCTCTCCCCAGCCGCATTCTCTCTCGTCGCGCCGCTGTGTGAGGAGCGTTGTTTCACAGCATGGGCCACGCGCAGGCGTTTCCCCAACCGCATCCTCGTCACGCGCCGCGAGTGTGCGAGCGAGCGGTGCGCCCCTCGCCACTGCGAGAGCAGCAGCAGATCGCTGCCCATGCTCAAGAGGTCGAGAGGAGCCTATGCGCATAGGTGCGACTTTCGCGACTGCGAGGGGACGCTGTACGCCCTCGTCGACATGCTCAACCTCGCGCGCACCCGCCTCATCCTCGGCTCGGGCTGGTCGTCCTACTCGGAGGTCCCCGAGAGACAGCCGAGAGGAGGCCGAGATGAGACCGAGATGAGACCGAGATGTGACCTCGTCGCCGCCTCATCACCCGGCTCGGACTGGTCCTGCTGCTCGGAGGACGCGGGCGCTACTCTCACCCCCTCCCTCCCCTCCCCCACCACGCGTCCGGAGGTTGCCGCCTACCTCGGCGGCTCGTCTGGCAACCCCGTCCCGATCCTCATGGCGGGACGCGACTTTGGCGCGCTGGCCACGCACCGCCCGCCCGCCGCCGCATTCCCGCCATCGAGCGCTGCATCGCAAACACTCCCCCCCACCTGCCGCCACAGGTGCGCTCGTCGGCGCCGAGCACGGCCGCTACAGCCCAAAGACGCCATGCTGCAACCCGCTGGAGGGCGGCACCGACGGCGCGCGACACACGCCGACGTCGTTCCCAATCCCGACCCTGTCGCTGCCGGTCCATTCCCCTCCCCCAGCCCGTGTCCACTCCCGCAGGCGAGGCGTTTCTGGGGATGGAAGCCGGGGCGGAGGACGGCGACCCGGACAATTTGATTCAGCATTTCTGGCCGAGACCGTTTTGATACACGTGTGTGTCGCGCTCAAGCGCGCAACGAGGCTCGAGGGCCCTCTGTTTCGGCGATTTTTTCTTTTGAA